CTTTTTTAAACGAACTGGAATTTATGCCAGCATCAATGCAGTCCTGTCATCAGCTCTTCGTTGAAAAGTATATTTTTTCCTTCTGTTTGAATTATGCAACCCCGTCGACGAGATGATAGTGTAACGCAAAAAAGTATGGTGTTCACACTAAACCGAAACCTTTCTTAGGAATTCTGACATTGTAAAGTTGCAGGCATGTTTACCCATCTTCATCGTACACTTTCACGCACAATCATAATCGGCCGATAGTAAAACCCACTTTTTACAATATTCCTTCTGCGCTCAAGTATTAGACTTCTTACAACTTTTGTTCACAGCAAATGAACATGATTCTTCATAACTTCAGCTCAAGATTTTCTCTGAAATGACTTCACAGTATGCCTCGACTTCATTATTCCCCAAATCCTCGCTTAGACTGGCTTTAAATGAAGCCATTTTATCGATCCTCGGGATAAGGCTTTGAGGGCCATTCAGCAAGTCATTTAGGCTAAGTAGACCTAAATGGTTTGACATATCACCTGATTAGAGAACGGACCTCATTAATGAAAGAAGGTTTCCTGAAAATTCTAAACTCGGATGGATTTAAAAGATGAGCAGGACTCGTGGAATGCTTTATTTAATTGCCAAAACTGGTGTACTCCTTTAAAGGATTCAGGAAGAACGTCTATGATCTCGAAATCCTGCAACGTTTGTCTGTGCGTGCATCACACTTGCCGGATTAATGCTCCTCAGGACGAGGAAACGTTGGACACTTTTGAAGAGAAACTTGTGCGAATTGCACATTTCAAATATGGACTGCATAACAATGACGTGATCACTTCTGAAACTCTTCCATCTGTGTATTTCCTGTCTATTTTGGCTAAGATTCTACCATGGCAATTCTGGCGAGAATATGCGAGTCCTATCTCTTCCAAATCGGCGGTTACAAGCAGAAAGAATAAAAACTTTCATCGTCTATTCATGTTTCTCCCCGGAACTAACAATAACGGATTGACCTCGGATCTCAACGATGGGACCCAGGACGATCGAGCAAAGAGGCATGCGGAAATGCGCCTGACCTGGAGAGAGAGTGAATCCTCAACTTCCCGAAAATCGGCTTCTCTCTCGAAATACTCAACCACAGAACCGCGGCCTCGTCAGCCTCGGACGACACGGGCTGAGCCTCCTGTCTCGGCCCTACCTGCTTTGAAAACAGCGACCATGCAAGACTGTGTGATTGCTCGTCGTCTCTACCGGAAAAACGTGAGTCTGGAGGAGGAGACTTTTAATGAGGAGATCATCTCGGAGAGTGGGCTGAGTAGACACTCCAGAAAGCCTCCATTCTCGCCCCACCAGCACCAAAAGTCTCCGATGGCCTGGAGCGACCGACCAGCCACGACAGCTCATGCGGTTGCCAACGGCACTGATGCACCGACCCCCAAAAAGAGGACTCGCAGCATCAGCGCCGACTCCGTCCTCCACCGCTCGCAGAGTCCTCAATCACAGCCAGTGTCCACGGCTCAACCCAAACCACGGTCTCACCATCGTCTGCCGGCCGACTTTGAGCCGACCTCAGCCACCCGACTGCATTTGTCACGGTCCACTGCTCACAGACTCTCCGGCGTCACATCTGGCCAGTGTCTTTCGGAAGATGGAGACTTGAATGCAAATACTTTCAGCATTAAACTGTCTAAGGCGGTAATTTGTATGCCAAACACTTTTGAGGTGCCTCAGATGTTGAGTGACCATCCTTTGAACGGTCAAGGAGAGGACGAGTACACTATTGATGCGAACTTCTCTGCCGTTAGTAGCCACTCGGCCTATCGTGCCGGAGATACAGACGACGATTGCACCCATTGTAACCTCACCTTTTCGGCTTTTCGCATGTCCGGCGTAGACTCGAACCAAAATTCAACAGGCCCATCAGTTGCCGATTCGCATCAGTCAGCCTCTTCAGACCTGCTTGATTCGGTCACTAGCAACGCTTCAAACACCGGAACCGATTCGCCCCCTTTCATAGCTACTATTCGACCGAGACGCCAACAGGCCGAGTTGCTGCCGCCGGTAAAGCCACGTTCGTCGTCTCATACTCTCAAACCGGACGAGCTCTCATTTCCTCTAGATTCCTGTCAATCGATAGAGCCTGGTAGGCAACCAGACACACTAGAGGACCCCTTGATCCAGGACGCCCGTACTTCGCACTTTTGCATGAAGCTGCCCATTCGAGATACTACAAGCGATCCCGGCAGATTCAGAGAACACCAAAATGGCAATCTTCTTAAATGCTCTTGTCCTTCACTCGATAACCCAGAAATCGAAATCACTCTCACTTCTGATCATGCTGATTGTGAGCTTCTAGCCGACAAACAACTGAATCCGCTTGCCTCTTCTTCTTTTTCTGACCCCTTCATCACTCAAACTATTTTAAATGGTCATGCATCCTTACAATTGCCTTGTATTTCACATGATTTAATTGATTCCCCACCTCTTCCGTCACATTCTGACGTTTCTAAGGAATCGGATGCGCACCTTCTCAACAATTCGGAGCAGTTCCTTGCGACCAAATGCTTCTCGGATTCTCATGTTCCTCATTCTACTGAGTTCTGCGCATCTCGTGACCATTTAAAGCCTGGTGAGTGATGTTTTGATTGAACGGTACTAGAAAAAGGAATCTATTTCCACAGAGTACCATAATTGAACTGTTGTGATACTAATGGTTATTGTGACGAAATTTTAAAGTTATATCAGTTTATTTCAATTTCATGATTTTGCATTAGGGAGAAATGTGTAAATTACATATACTTTTTGGAAGGAACAATGCATATGATGGGCTAATTTCTGTGGTCTTTAGCCTCTATTAAGCATTCTAGTCGCCTAGGGTTACTTAAAGTGATGGAAGGACTAATGGTTGAATTTTTCACAATAAAATGATTCAAAGTCCTCACCATTCCATTGAAGTTTATTTTACCCTGTCTCCCAAAAGGGGGACTGGGGCTAAGCTACTGTTTAAAGCTCACCCGGGCCTCATTAAAACTCCAAAGGAGCTTCGAAACCTCATCATATCATCAGAAGATATTTAGAAAACCAGGCTCATGATTTGTTTTACGAAAGCCCTTTGTAATATTGGGGAAGATAACAGATGACGTTTGTAAACCACAGAAGTCTTAGCGAAGGACAAGTGATATCTTCCGTCCATCCCTGTGTTTTTCTGAGAAAGCAGGAATAGGATCTCTAACTTCATCAAACTTTAAGAAAAGCCGAAAATGAAATCGCTATCATGATACAAAGAGTAAGAAGCGACATCAAGCTTTGATTTATGCATTTAGATGGTCCTCATCTATTAGCGGGAAACCAAAGACGGACAGCTTTCTTATATTGAAATTGAATGATATTATTATATTCGATGTTTCTCTTCGAAAAATTAATTGTCTTCAACACGCGCTGATAAAAACATTCAGCTTTGGCCATTACTTGCCTTCTTTCCAATATTTCGTTATCTAAAAACAATGTATA